CGGGCCGCCCCCCGGGCACCGCCGCGCCCACCCTTGCCGGCCACCGTGTCGCAGAAGGTGGCGGCCAGCAGCACCAGCGCCCAGCACGCCGCCGCGCTCCGCCGCATCCCGCACCTGCCGCAGGRAGGGAGGGAGAGCCCCGCCGCTCAGCCGCGCCCGGCCGCCGGCGGGGGACCGCGCACCGACGTGTCCCGCTTGCGCGCGTGCTGGGGTCGCGCACGCGTGTGTCACCGCACCCGTGTGTCACCGCACGCGCAGCAGCCCGCGCGTTGCATAAACGCGCTCCCCCCACCCTTGTGGATGATGCTCCCGCACACGCACGCTCCCGCACGCCACTGTGGCTGATGATCCGCACACGGACGCTTCCGCGCGCCCCTGTGGATGATGTTCTTGCACCCGCACGCTCCCGCAAGCTGCTGTGGATGATGTTTCCGCACAGGCTCGCACCCTCGCGCTCCGCAGATCCCTGTGGATGACGCTCCCGCACACGCTCGCACCCGCGCGTTTCCCTGGCTCCGCGCACACCCGGCCGCGGGGCACAGTCACACCCCCGTCCCTCCCTTCCCGCCCGCGGCGCTCACCGGGACCGGGGATGCCGCCGGCTCGTTCCGCTCCTCTCCGCTTCTCCCCGGCCGCGCTCCCGCTGCCGCGCTCCCGCCGCGCCCCCCGCACTCCCCCCAACTCCCCCCGCGGGGGGCGGTGGGGGAATCCCCTCTCCCTTCCCCTTCCCCTCCCGTTCCCCGCGGGGTSTCTAAACCCCACAAGTCCCGTCGCCCGGCCCCGCCCGCGCCCCGCGGCGCGGCCACTGCGGGACCCCCACTCGGGGCGGGGGGTGCGGGCCCGGCGCCCCCTCCCACGGCCCCGGGGGTCCCGGCCCCGCCCCGCGGCCCCGCCTTGGCCAATGGGAACAGCGCGAGGCGGGGCGGGGCCGCCTGCACCAATGGGCGGCGGGGGGCGGGGCGGGGCTCCCGTCGCTCCGCCATGGCCGCCCCGCTGCGAGCGATCCTCCGCACCGCCGCCGCCGCCGCGCTCCCCCGGGCGCGCCTCCCGCCGCCGCTCCGCGTCCCCCATGGCGCACGGGGCTACAGCGCCGGTGAGCACCGGGACACTCGGGGAGCACCGCGGGAGGGTGGGCCTGGCCCCGCCCAGCGCTCAGCGCCGGGCAGTGGGTCCCTGCACCGGGCACGGTCGTAGCTCCGGGCATGTGTCCAGCGACCTGCACGTGGTTCCTGGGCTGCGCACCAGGCCACGGCACCGGGCACCGCTTCCCTGCTCTGTGTACGGTCCCAGCGCTGGGCACGGGGTCCCTGGGCTGTGCACCAGGGCCACAGCACCGGGCACCGGGACCCAGCACAAGGTACGGTCCCAGTACCGGGCATGTGCCCAGGGGGCTGAGCGTGGCTCCTGAGCTGCGCAGCARAGCCCATTACCGGGCACTGGGTATGGGCCGTGGCACTGCATACCCAGGGCACCAGCACTGGGGCCCAGGGCTATGTAYGATCCCAGCACCGGGCACCGGGATCCCTGGACCGTGCACCAGATCCCAGCCTGGGTGTGTGTCCCAGCACAGGGTGGTCACGGGGCTGCACGTACCCGGGTCAGGGTGGCACCGGGAGCTCCCCTGAGCCAAGCCCCCGGAGACGTCCCACCGGCTGCCGGTGACCSCTGGCACGAAGGTCGCCTTTAAATAGCACGGAGTGGCGGCGGCCAGGCCTCGCTGAGAGTGGCCGGGGCTCTGCCCGTGCCCGGCAGCCGGTGGGCTAATGGGCCGGTGCCGGTGCGGCGGGCAGGGACTGCGTTCCAGTACCTGCTGGTGCAGAAGACGGGGGCGCAGAAGAACGTGGGRCTGATCCAGCTGAACCGGCCGCAGGCGCTCAATGCGCTCTGCGAGGGGCTCATGGCMGAGCTGCGGCAGGCGCTGGAGGCCATGGAGAGCGACCCGGAGGTGGGAGCCATCGTCCTCACCGGCAGCCAGAAAGCCTTTGCAGGTAAGACGGGACCTCTCCTCACCCCAGAGTTTCGGAGGGGATGGTGTCCCACCACTTGTCCCTTTGCAGCTGGTGCAGACATCAAGGAGATGCAGAATAAAACTTTCCAGGAGTGCTACAACAGYGGCTTCCTCGCCGGGTGGGACAAGGTGTCTGTTGTCCGCAAACCCATCATCGCTGCTGTCAATGGCTACGCCGTGAGTGTTCCCCACATCTCCCAGTACCCCCTGCCTCCACCCTGGCACACCCCCTGACCTGTCCGTGACTCCCCTGTCCCAGCTGGGCGGTGGCTGCGAGCTGGCCATGATGTGTGACATCATCTATGCCGGGGAGAAGGCACAGTTTGGGCAACCCGAAATCCTGCTGGGGACCATACCAGGTGGGCAGCAGGCACCTACCAGGGGCGTCCATCCTGGCTGGCCTGGGGACACCCAGGTCTCCCTCTCTAAACCTCTCCCTTCCCTAAATGCCCCAGGTGCTGGCGGGACGCAGAGGCTGACCAGGGCAGTGGGGAAGTCACTGGCAATGGAGATGGTCCTCACCGGGGACCGGATTTCTGCAAAGGAGGCCAAGGAGGCAGGTGGGGGCATGGGACAGCCCTGGTACTGCGGGGTCCTGCAGGGAGCCATCCCCCCACTTCCCGCTGCCCATCCTAGGTCTGGTCAGCAAGATCTACCCTGTGGAGAAGCTGCTGGAYGCAGCCATCGCCTGCGCTGAGAAGATTGCCAGCAACTCCAAGCTGGTGACGGCCATGGCAAAGGAGTCGGTCAATGCTGGTAGGGGCTGGGGCCCAGCTGGGAACCCCTTGGGTGGGYTGCTGGGGGCCAGGCAGAGGCGTCTCCCTAACTTCTCCCTTGCTCTCAGCCTTCGAGACGACGCTGACAGAGGGGAACAGGACRGAGAAGCACCTCTTTTACGCCACCTTTGCCACCGTGAGTAGGGGRATCAGCCCCATGGCCTGAGGCATCACGGGGCTGCTGCAGCCCCCCCAAAYCTCACCTCTCTGCTTGTCCCAGAGCGACCGCAAGGAGGGGATGACGGCGTTCGTGGAGAAGCGCAAGGCGAAGTTCACCGACAGCTGAGCCAGGGGAGTGCAGGTCCCTGGGGTGGTGCAGGTCCCCACRGCCACCTGCAACCCATCCACCCCCTGCCTTAYCCCGCAGAGGGGACYGGGACCCRTCGGCGAGCGACACTTGCTTGGGGYGACAGCCAGCAGTGGGGACCACCTCTGCCTTCGCTATTAAAGGGTTTTCTAGGTGCTGCCGGGAGATGGGGCGTCTTTGCTGCGAGGTCCTGCCTTAGCTGGGAAATGTTGGGGGTCACTGAGACTCCCCCCCATGCTCCATCATGCTGCTCTCTGATGCTGGGCTGGGCAAGAGCAGGCTCGTGGGGCACAGGTCCATGTATTCCCCGGGAAGGGGACAGACAGCCTGTTCCAATGTGCTGAGATTGCCTGGCCTCAGCCTCACCTGGGCTGAGCTGAGGCCAGGTACCATGATGGGCTGAGTCTCCTGACCCAGGGTATCATCCTGCCTGGCATCTTGGGGTAATCCTGAGGGGGTTCCTGCACTTAGCAGCAGGTTCYTGGCAGCAATGAGGAGCCCATCAGGACGTGGAGAGGGGAGTGAGTTTATTGGTGAGGCTCAAAGCTGGGTAGGGAAGGGCAAATACCCCCAGGGGTGGCTCCCACCCCTCATTTCACAGCAAGGGCTCATCTCCACTCAGCTGTGGTAGATATGGTCACGATCCTCCTCTGGGCCCTTCTGCACCTCCAGGGACAGCATCCGGGGTGACTTGTAGGTGTCAGCCTCCTTGGCATCATCCTGGGGGTGGTAGAGGTGGTCACGATCCTCCTCTGGGCCGTTCTGCACCTCCAGGGACAGCATCCAGAGCAGCATGTCGGCATTGGCCTCCCTGGCATCATCTTGGTGGTGGTGGAGTTGGTTATGATCCACTTCTGGTCCTGCCTGGACTTGGGGTGGGCCCCTCTGAGCCCAGGCACTGCTGGAGAAGACCTTTATACCTGATTCACCCTCCTCCGATGGCTCAATGGCTCCTACRCCCAGGATGCTGGAAGAGGGGAGCAAAATCAGTGAGGAAAAGTCACCAAATACCACCCTGTCTRTCCCAGAGGAATCCCACCCCATCGGAGTGCAGGGACCCTGGTGAGATTGCCCGCACCCCAGGAAGCAGCACTTAGGATCTCAAGGAGCACAGGGGCTAATTTAACTATTTGTTCCACAAAAGGAACTGAGAAACCAGCTGAATGCTCAGGGAGTTTGTGTCATTTAGGGAGGAGGGGAGATGGAGCTGGGACTCCCTTAATTTAAGGGGACACAAAGCAACAAGGGGAATTCATTCCCCTCTGAAACSCTTTCCATTTTGGGGTGTTGCTTTATTGGTTTTTGCAAGCCAGATGTGAGCACCTCTTACATTTCCTCAGCCAAATCCTGCTCCGTGGCCAGATCCTTCCACCTGGAGCTGCTCAGAGCCTGCAGAGAGAGAAGGGGGTGGCACTGGTCACACGTGGGTCCCGTCATCAGAGGGGACAGCAGGAGGGCAGGTTGAGGGGGAGCTCACCTGGGTGCTGCCAGGTGCCAGCAGGAGGAGGGCAGTGCCCAGCAGGACAGTGATGTTGCAGAGCCCCATGGCCCTCGGGCTGGAGAAGAGATGGCAGAGACACGGTGGCATGAGCCGTGTGGCCGGTGCTGGCCCATGCCCTGCACCCTGTTCCTGTGCCCACAGCTCCTCCCTGACCCCCAGCCCCCACCCTGTCCACTCCTTGTGCCCGCTGGGGTTGGCAGGGACCTACCTGTCCATGGCTGCCTCTCACCACACCTGCCTTGCTCTTTGCCCAGCCCCGTGGCAGCCCAGCCCTCACGTCCCTGGTGGCACTGGGTGGATCCAGGTCCTGGTGCCACCTATCCCACGTGTCCCTCCTGGCCCTGGGTGCATCCAGGCTATGCTGCACATCCCCATGCACCCATGGGCTCTCCAGGACAGAGGGCAGGCAGGTCAGAGTCCTCCTGCCAACGCACCATCTCTGGAGAGGGGATGTGTTCCCGAGGCTGCTCCCCAAAAGCTCTGGCAGGTTCTGTGAGGGTGACGAGTCCCAGATGTCCCAAAAAAGGTGGAGCTGCTCCCCTCTTRTCTTGCCTGGGAAGGAGCTGCACTGACTCCTCTGCTCATTCCTGCTGTGTGGTCAAGCACGCTCCTGGCTCATCTGCGACCCTTCCCTTTGCTTCTCCTCCGTGCCTGGCATCGTGGGATCCACCTCTGTCACATGGATTCCTTCACCTCTCCTGCAACAGGAGTGACACGGCTGATTTGGGGACTTTCAGTACCCCCAATGTTTCCCAGTGCATTGTTTTTCCCCAGGAGGTAAGATGTGGAGGCCTGTGTGAATCCAGAGCCTCTCCCTGACTTGGCTGTGATAGGTTTCCCCATTTCTGTGTGTGGCTCATGTCAAGAGTGTGTTAAAAAAAAAAAGGGAAATTAAAGTTTTGGCTTGAAATAAGGAATTTTGACAGCCACTGGCCAGTTGGAAAATACTTCCTTGCCTGTGAACTCTGGGAAAAGCTGGTGGCCCAGAAGAGAGCCTGAGGCTGTAATTGTAACTCTGTAACTTCAATTTGTTACCCAATTGCAAGGGCAGGCACTCAGGGACTCTGGACTCTGGGAAAAATGGAATTCCCAGGTCAAAACTCATGGACCTGAACACGTTAAGGGARAGCAGGTTGGCCTGCTGTTCCCTGACCTTTGTACCATCACTTCCCATTCCCAGAGTGCAGGGAAAAAGCCTCACTGGGGGCTTCAGTGTTGGAAAGGGGTTTTTGGTCCCTGCTGAGAGACGTGCCTGGGCAGATGCGGGATCCTGGCTGCGGGTTTGCCTGCTGGAGACAGCATTCTCCAGAGCCCACGGAGCAGGGATTAGGGCTGGACAAGCTGGATGAGTTTTAACCAGAGGGAAGCTTTTTAAAACTCGCTGGGAAATCTCCTACATCTCCGTAAACACCATTCCCTGCTCCCATTTGCAAGGATTTTTCAAAGCCCCTTTGATCCTCTATTCCTCACAGAGAGGGGGAGGGAAAAAATGCAATTATAGATCTTAAGCTTCTTGGATAAACATTGTTCCAGAAACCTCTTTTTTTCCCCTTATGGACAATTTTTAAGTGTCAGGATTCACCAGGACCCCAAGACCAGTGGCTCCATTTCCAGTTTTTCCCAGGAGGATGAGATTACAAAGGTAGGGAAAGGCAAGAGAGAAAACAATCTCCATCCCAACCTGATTTTGGCAATATTTGCAGCAAAGGAAGGGAGATTCATTCCACACACCTAACTTTGCCTGGGCTTCAAAATAGCACTTAAATTCTCTAGGAAGCAATTTTGTAAAAACTACCTTTATTTTTTCACCTAGTTGGAATTCACCTTAAGCCCCTATGGAAATGCTTCTCCTGGCCCAGACAAACCTTTCAAGGCAGGTGCAGAGGAGACTTCAGCRAGATGGAGAAAGTCAGAACTAAGGACCAATGAGTTTTGTTTTTTTTTCCTCCATTTTCTTTTCTCACTGATTCCAGCTTCCATACAGTCATGTTGTCATCTTGGAACTTTTTGAATCTATTTTTTCCCCCAAAAGGCAAAAGATAAAACATGCAATCCCATGCAGTCTCAGCTTTACGACAGTTTCCTTAACACCTCACCACACGTTCTGGGTTCCCCTTTCTTGAGGATTAACTCAGGTGTTACCAGTTCTGTCTGACATCAGGAACCCGTGCCCAAATGCTGGCAGAGCTTTAACTGGTTTGGGTGGTTTATTCCATGGAGTGGGAACTGGAAATGTCCCTGGTGGCACCAAGCCCCATGACTGCTCATCTTGCACAAATCTGCTGCAATGATCTTCAGACTTTCTTCCTCGGTCCTTTAAAGCCTCGTGTGGCACCTTGTCCAAAGCAAATTGTGGATGGGATCCTGGAAAGGGAGACAGGCTTTARTCCATGTTAACAGCCCACCCCTCAYAGGCTCACTGGGAYRCTTAATGCTCTGTGGGGCATTTTAAGCTYCCAGAGTGGGAAGAGCAAGGTACGAGAGCAGCAGGACATATAAATCACCAAATAATTTTAAAAATGGGTGAAACACTGCTTGGATTTCCTGTGTGCTCTGCACATTCCTGCTTTGGAGACCTCTTTACAACCAGGTGTAAGTGTTACCAAATGTAACACTCAGGCAGTTGCAGTCGTTGATTATGAGGAGCAGGAGAGCAGAAGCAGCACCCTGCAATACCTTGGGAAGAGATCAGGGGGGCAGACAAACACAGCTTCCACGGCATGCTCACATTCTGCCCTTCCTTACAATTCCCTTTTTTAAAAATGCCTTTGGAAGCACACACACATGGGATTCGTGTTTTTTTTATCTGGTAAGATGGAGCTGGTCCCAGCCCCTTTTGCCCATKGAGGCCAAAGTTCAGACCTGGATTTGTAGAGCCGTTTCTCTGAYAGCAAGGGGCTGGGGCTGGCTGCAGTCTGAGAGATCTCCATGCTCTCCTCAGGCCCTATTTCCATGGGATTCACTGGGAATTGCTCTGCCGTCTCCACACTCACATCCATTGGCATGCTGGTGCCCTGCTCTGCAGGAGAGCTYGTGTGCTTGGAGCCACTGCAGAGACAGAATTTCACACGCTGAGCCCAGAGTCAAGGAAATCAAAGGTATTTTATGAGGAAACAAATCCAGCTAGAATAGATTCCTTCCCAATATCCCATCTAACCGTGCTCTCTGGCACTGGGAAACCATTCCCCCTTGTCCTGGCATTCCAGGCCCTTGTACACGTCTCTCTCCATCTTTCTTGTCAGCCCCTTCAGATACTGGAAGGGCACAGCTGGGGCACCCTGGAGCTTCTCTTCCCCAGGCTGAACAATCCCAATTCCCTCACAATTTCCTTGYAGGACAAGAGGAAAGTTCTGCAGTTACCTTTTCACTTTCTTGGGCCTGTCAAACCGGAAATCAGCCGGATAAAGGTGCACAGTCACCAAATGATCCTTCCTGTCCTTGCTGCTCTTGAACTTCTCTGTGCAGCCTTCCACCAAACACTGGTACTGAAAGGCAGGGAAAAAAAAATATTAAACTGGAAAAGACAAGTGCACACCAAGCATTAGGCGAGGGCTGGGCATGGCAGCTCACCATATTTTGCTTCTCRGCCATTATCTGGAAGAGGGAGTCATGCCACTCCAAGATGTGGATATCCAAGAGATTCCCMGAGGGGAAGGAGCGCTTGCAGAAGGAGCAAACATTTCTGTGCAGGGTGTTGTAGTGGTGCTCGTAGCTCTCTAGTGTGTCAAACACCTGGCTGCASCCGGAGATGTGGCAGCTGAACTCAGACACTCTGCAGGGAAATCGGGATACCCACACCTTAGGTTAAATTACTTTAATTTCAGTTGCAAAGTCATCCCCTTAGAAGACTTTATCATAGAATTTCAGGGTGGGACCACAAAGCTCATGTATTTCCAACCCCCTGCCATGGGCAGGGACACCTTCCACTAGACCCACACCTGCAGCCACAATACTCTCGGCATTTTTGTGAGTGATACTTAAAATTAAATGCCAGGTGCAATGGAACAAAGACCATGACAGTGCTGATGGCACTGTGGAAACTTATATAAGTGGAAACTTATCTGCCATTGCAAATTTATTTGTCATTGTGGCTTCAGGACCATCTGTATCACCATCCTGTTAAGTGGTGCTTCGATGAAGAATAAACAAGCAGCAAGGTGATAAATCAGCTCTTTGGCCTAAAAGCTGGAGTTGTAGATGTCAACTCTGTGCCAATGCTTTTTTAAGAGGCACCCATAGGAGAACCTYACACAAAGTGAGGATCCTTGGATTTTAAACACAAGAGCAAGACCAAGATTCTCCCCCAGGCTTAGCCTTCTTGGCTGGAGCTGTCCCAGCTGCAACAGCCAAGAGAAGCTGGAAGTGTTCAGGGCCAGGCTGGATGGGGCTTGGAGCAACCAGGTCTATGGAAGGTGTTCCTGCCCTCGGCAGGGGATGGAATGGGATATCTTTAAGATCCCTTTCAATTCAAACCATTCCTTGATTCCACGCCAAACGGACTCAGAGCTCGCCTCACTTACTTGGGTCTCTCGGCCACCTCCTCGAGGCTAGTGAGGACGCCCTGCAGGTAGAGGTGCCTGTGCACGTCCCCATCCTAGAGAGGAGCAGAAAGCGGCTGTGGGCAGGCGGGCAGAGCTGCAAAACACCGCGCGAACCCTTCTGCTCCGAGGGGAGCGGCCCCCACACGGCCCCGCGGGGCTCGCCGGGCGCGGGGCCGCCTCACCTCGAAGAGCGGGTGTTGGGAGCCGAGGCGGAGGCGGCGGGGGGCGAAGGTGAAGGGCGGCGTGGGCTGAAGGCGCTGTGGGGGATGCTGAGGGGGATGCTGAGGGGGATGCTGAGGGGGATCCTGAGGGAGCCCCTCACGGAGGAGGAGGTGAAGGCCCGGCGGCAGCGGCAGCATCGCGCGGGAATGGGGAGGGGGCACTGCGCATGCGCGGGGCGCTCTGCCCGACCCTGCTGTGAAGATTGCGCATGCGCGGAGCGCCCTGGCCGGAGTCACTTTAGCGAGTGCGCAGGCGCGGAGCGCGCTGCCAGGTTACGGTGCTGGGGGACTGCGCATGCGCGGGACGCGCTTCCCGGCGCCGGCAGCGGCACTTCCGGGCGGGCAGGTAGGGATGGGATGGGATGGGATGGGATATGGGATATGGGATATGGGATATTGGATATGGGATATGGGATATGGGATATGGGATATGGGATATGGGATATGGGATATGGGATGGGATGGGATGGGATGGGATAGGATAGAATTGAGTATGGAGCACACGGGATGTGATGGGGTGGTGTATAGGATAAGGACCGAGACAAGCGAGTGTGATGGGTATGGAGCGGGGCTGGTGAGGCGGGACGGGACGGAATAGAGAGGGACAGGATGGGATGTGGGGCGAGGCGGCATGGGATGGTGTAGAGAGGGATGGGACGGGGCTGAGGCGCTGCCCTGGCCCCTGCCGTGCCCTGGCCCGTCGGCCATCCCGGGGAAGGGATTCCCTCGCTCTCCCGGGACGAGCTGTTTGCCCGGGGCCCGCCGGTGTGCCGGTGCCTCGGGACTCTGTGCCCTCCTCGTGTCCAGCTGAGCCAGCCCAGCTCCCGCAGCTTCTCCTCATTCCCTACATCCCTGAYCCCCGGGCACTTCAGCAGCCCATGGGGAATCCCWGTAGGATCAGGGCCCCAATTGTTGGGGAAACCTTAAAGAGGTCCAGACCAAGCCATGCAGCGTCTGTTCTAAYTTCAGTCAGTTTTGGGTGAAGAGTTGGATCAAGCCTAAGTGATTCCGTGATACTGGCAAAGCAAAAGTGTGTCAGTGTGCTTGATACATGGATCTAGATTGTATCTGCTTGGTACAATCTGTGCAGGGTGTCACATTAAAATTCTTATTTGTTTCCAAGATTCCTGACTCGGGGYCTTACTTCTGGTTTACAGAATATTCTGAGTTGGAAAGGGACTCATGAGGATCATCAAGTCCAACCCTTTAGTGAATGGCCCCTCAGGGATTGATCCCACAACCTGGGTGCTTTTAGCAGGCTCTGACCAGCTGAGCCCATCTCAGGGTTCTGTGCCAAAGTTATTATTTAAATATTCTAGAGGATTTGAGCGGAGTTAGCAAAGTGGGCAGTGGAATAGGAAGACTCCTAAACTTAGGAAAAACTGTTCCTGTGTCCCCAGGGCAGGCAGGCTGCCCGAGCCRGGAGCATGAGCGAGTTCCGCATCCACCACGATGTGAACGAGCTGCTGAGCCTGCTGCGGGTGCACGGCGGCGAGGGTGCTGAGGTCTACATCGAGCTGCTGCAGAARAACCGCACGCCCTACGTCACCACCAACGTGTCTGCACACAGTGCCAAGGTCAGAACAGCTCCTCCAGGAGGGACAGTGTGGATACCTGAGTGTTGGTGGGAGAAGAGAAGGGTTGGTAGGTCTGGGGTAGGGGCAAGTTCAAGGAAGGAGGTTATTTTGAAGGATTTCTTCCCAGTAAGGGTGGGAGGTTCTGGCACAGGGTGCCCAGAGAAGCTGTGGCTGCCCCTGGATCCCTGGCAGTGCCCAAGGCCAGGCTGGACATTGGGGCTGGGAGCAGCCTGGGACAGTGGGAGGTGTCCCTCCACTGTGTCAAGATCACCCTTGAAGGACCCTTCCACCTCAAGGGTTCCATGATAAAGTGAAAGTTGTATAAAGTGCAATTATATGAGTAGCACCTGACTTTTTTTTTTTTCTGAATAACACCCAAATATTAGGGATTAAAGCCTAGCACTCATGGCCAGACATAGTTTTATGGYCATAATACTGCTTTTTGTTTTCATTTTTAAAAGCAATCCGCCAGTCAAGCTGTAAGTGCTGGGAGGTTTCTAGCTCTGTCTGAAACCTTACATTTTTGTAGCTTGAGCTGCATTTTTGCTCTAATTCCACTTCATTTTAATTGTAACTCCATTTAATATTAACGTGGTGTTTTACAGGTAAAAATAGCAGAGTTTTCTCGAACTCCTGAAGATTTTTTAAAGAAGTATGATGAGCTGAAATCAAAAAACACGAGACATCTGGATTCTTTAGTTTATCTGCTGTCCAAACTCACCGARGACAAAGAGGTTGGTTCCTTCTTTAGRACTGGATCYTGAAGCRTAGCASCAATRCAATGATTTCAAGCAGAGCTGATGRTAAAGTTCAGTGAAATTCACAGAAATCCACAAATAACCCGTTCCAGCTTGTACTGAGTTATKAAAGCACTGCTGAGAATTATGCTCCACTTGATATAATCCGCTGAGACGTGGAAAACTGGGACAGAGAGATCTGTGGCTGGATTCAGCACAGCCAGGGTATGATCATGTGTGTTTTGCTTTAGACTGTACTCTCCAGCATTCACCAAATCTTTTCTTCCTTTGTGTGTGCACAGACACTCCAGTACCTGCAACAAAATGCTAAAGAAAGGGCAGAACTCGCAGCAAATGCAGCCACCAGCAGCAGCACCAACTTTTCCATCCCCTCATCCACTGCCAAGATGTCTCTGCAGGAGCTGGAGGAGCTGCGCAAGCAGCTGGGCASTGTCACAGCCAACTCCAGTGCACAGCAGGTACAAAGCCCTTCCCAAGCTTTGGGCACAAAATCTTTCCTTTTGTCAGTCAGGCTAAATTMAATCTTGGTGCTGTTCTTAGTAAAAGTGGCTTTTTTTTTGTTTCAGTTAGTTAAGGTTGAATTCTTATTCTAAGGTTGAATTCACAGTTAAAGTGTTCCCTGTCAGGAGCGTGGCACAGGTTGCCCAGAGAAGCTGTGGCTGCCCCTGGATCCCTGGCAGTGCCCAAGGCCAGGCTGGACATTGGGGCTGGGAGCAGCCTGGGACAGTGGGAGGTGTCCCTGCTCATGAAAGGGGTGGCACTGGATGGGCTTTGAAGTCCCTTCCCACCCAAACCAGTCTGGGATTCTAAGGTTAAGTCAAGTTYAGGCCTCGACAGCTCTCACTGGTGGGCTTTTAATTGAATTTATGGGATTTCATTTTCCTGTTTCAGCTTTAAGCTCTGCTGACCTTTCCTTGTCTGCCTGTAGCAGTGCCTGYCCAGGAGCTCAGCAGCCTGGGGTTGTGTCTCCATCTTTCCTGGGAGCTCTGCTCCTGGATCATGGGCAGCAATCCCTCACCTCATCCTTCCCCAAGTAGACATGACCATTCCCCCTACTCAGMTGTTTGGGCTCCTGAATTAAATCCWGCAAAGCAATCCCAAAGGCAGAAAGGAGAGGAGAACCAGCTGGAGACACAGGCTTAGAAAGCAGTTAAGCATTTCGTTAGCAGCAAGAGGTTGTGAGGTCAGAGTGCAATAAGGGAATTTATTACTTAAATCCCAGCTTCTGTTTCCTGTAATTGTTTGTATAAAAACCTGTACTATGGTGGCTTGGCCTGGAAAACAGGGCAGGGAGGGAAAGAATATGGTGGAAAACTCATGGGTCAAGATAAGGACATTTTGGCTGCAGAAGGCAAGGGGAAACAGTGTGTGGAGAGTTCCTTGGACAGAGGGGAAAGAGGCAAAGATGCTCAGGGGTCCATGGTGCCTTCTGGTGTGTAGTCAGCAAAATCTAACAGGGGCAAGCCTCAGATCACTTCAGGCAAGAGGGATGGACATTCTGTGTCCCACGTTTTGGGACACCCCAGGGGTCTSTGGGCTTATAGGGCCCTACGTGAATGTGATGGCAGAGAGCTCAAATCCCAAACCAAGGGTCCAGCCCCTCACCAGCCTTGTCCCACATAACTAAAATACCATACAGACACTTGGCCTGACTCATCCAGATCCTTTGCAGATGACCTGAGGCGAGTGGGTGATTAAGATCATGAAGGGAAGATGACTTTCCCGTGACATAACTGATCTCCTTACCAGGGTTTATGTGTCAGCTTGCTGAAAGAGGAAAGACCTGCAAATGCCGTTTTCTGGGATGTGCAGTTCACAGCCAGAGGGTTTGAAATGGCATCAGCAGCCAAGATTTGTGCCTCCCTGCTGCTCCATTTGTACTTTATTCAAACTCAAAAGAGCTGAAAGGCCCTGATGAGCTGGTGCTCGGGGCTGTTGTGTYGGAGAGGGCTGGGACAGGAGGGCATTCTGTGGAAGTGTTAGCTCTGCTCAGCTTCTGACACAGATCTGTGAATGAGGATCCCAGATGGAGCTGGAGGGTGTTCATGCACCTCCCAGATGAGCCCTTTCCCTCCCTGATGGGTGTCAGCCTCATCAGCATCACAGTGGCAAGCTGCCACCCTGTGCCAGGGCGTTCCAGTGCCACCTGAGGGCTGTTTTTTTCAGYCCTGGGAGTGCTCTCCAGGCTGTTGTTGAAGCCTGTAATGACAGTGACCTCAATTTCAAGTTGCAGYGAGAAGGTGATTCATGCCCCTGAGACATGTGCTTTGTCACCCGTGCTACAAGCGCTGTGCCATCTGCCCTGGGATTGCTTGGCATTGCCACAGAGATCATTCAGTGATTGCAGTTACTGCTGGGACCAATTTTGGTCATGGATTCACTGAGGTGAGGAAAGTTACATGTTCCCTTTCAGGCTGATGTGTCCTTTRGAGCCAAAATGTTGACCTTTTTCACCTCTGCCAGTCAACAAAGTCATGCTAGGGCTGTTAGAACTGCAACAGAAGTGCCCTGCCTCTTGTCAGAGAATAAAATCAGAGAGTCATTCAGGTTGGAAAAGACCTCCAAAATCATCAAAGTCCAGCCTTGGATTKAATATCACCAAACCCACTAAACCATGTCCCCAGCTGCCGTTTTTACTCGTGTTTTGAACACTTCCAGAGGTGGTGACACCACCATTTCCCTGGGGAGCTTGTCCCAGTGCTTAACCACTGTCTCAGTGAAGAAATTTTTCCTCCCTGCCATTAGGGAAGACCTGCTAGTGGCTGCTCTTCTCCCAGGCAGAACAGGTTCATGCAGCCAATTGAGTTTGCAGTTTTATGTGGGGTTTAGCCATCCTTTGAATCCCTGGCAGCTCCCTTGATGCTTCCTGTTTCTCTGTGTGAAAGTCCCAGTTCTGTGAGGGGAGCAGAGGAAATGCAGGTCCTTTCAGCAGCTCACCCACACAGGATGTCAATAAGAAAGTCAAATGAGCCTGTGCAGATCCCTTTTCACACACACACATCTGTGGATCTTCAGGAACGGCCTTCAGCAGCCCCGTGTTGGTGCACTCRGGGCTCCAAATGTTCACGTAGGTTGTGCATCTCAGCAGCCTTCCCAGCTGATGATGGATCTTGCACTCCGTTTATTTTGGTGTCAGAGCTGGGGGAGGAAAGTCTTTCAGTCTTCAAGAGCTCACTTCCTTCRCTGGCTCCCACTCAGAGCAGAAATCTCCATCGTTTTCCAGCTCCCCGTGGGTGGGTTTGTCTGGGTTGAGTTTGGCAGTGAGTTCAGAGGTGTTCAATGCCCCTGGGATGAGATGGTGGTGCTTCTGGAGGGAGTTTGCTGCTTTTATGTGGYGCTCTCTCCAAACCTGGTAGCTGTGCAGGTCCCTGTTCTGCTCCCCTGGGTGTGCCCCAGCGCTCAGGACATTGGGGAGGGATTAAAAAAGGCATTATTTCATGTGCCCCCACATTAAAAGGCCAAACGTTTAAAAATTACTCATTTTTTGCAGCAGCGTGGCAAATAGACTTGGTGGTACTGGGAAATTAAACCCTACACCATACCATTGAAATACCAGCTATCTGTTCCCAAATCCATCCATCAGTTTGCAGTGAATTTCTCCTTGAAATTAAARTTCTCTTGGACTTCTGAAACTCTCCTGTTTTTCCCCTTCTTTCCCCCTCTCTCTTTTTTTCCAACAGCCTCTTGAGCTGACAAGAAAAATCCTCCGGGAGAAGCAGAACAAGAGGAATTCTGGCCAGCCCATTCCAGTGTTTCCATCCTGGGTGTATGAGAGACCTGCACTTATTGGGGATTTCTTGATTGGCACCAGTTTAAGCACTGACACAACAGTACCAATAGGTACGTGAAACACGGGGAAAGTTTGCATTAATTTGTGGTGTTTAGTACTCATTCACAAATATTTTTCAGATGTTCACACTCAGGATGGAAGCAAATCTTGACTGTGCACTTTATTTCCTTGTGACAGTATTTGAGCTGTTTTCTGGGTATTTCAGTATTTTGGTGGTGAGGAGGTTGGGGAAGTTGTTGGTGCTGAAATAACTGAGCCATTATTTCATTATTATTTCATTATTATTTCATTATTATTTCATTATTATTTCATTATTATTTCTGGGTGGAAGGATCAGCAGCAGGAGCTGTGGCTGTTATTTTTTCAGCCACAGATGTTGCATGTTCAGTACTGGATTTGGGTATAAATGAGCAAAGGATTCTGTTTGCCAGGAAAGCAGGGTAGGAGGCTGAAAAAGGTGGATGATTGCACTTTGTGTCCTCTTTTTTTGGAAACAGGCACTTTGCCCCTGGCCTCCCAGGAATCCATGATTGTGGAGGACCTGCTCTATGTTCTGATTGGTGTGGATGGGAGGTACATCACAGCACAGGCCCTCGTGGGCAGGCAGAACAGAGCCTTCTCACTCGACCCAAACCTGGACTTGTCCATCAAGGAGCTGGTGACCAGGATCCTYCCTGTGGCAGCAAGTTACTCTGCTGTCACCAGGTACCAAGCTGGCTTTTGTCAGGGGAGGAGGCTCTCCTGTCAGAACAGAGAATCTGCCATTGTGAAGATGTGCTCAAGTTAAACTAAGGGGGTATAAAATTAGTGACAATTTATTTGGGTGGGTTTTAGCTACATTTCCTTCACTGCATTTTTCCTCTGTGCTGCCAGTTCACTGTTTCATTCATACACCTTTGTTTTTCCCAGTTGTGGTCTTGGTAACTTCARTTAGGATATTCTGCCTGTTCTGGCTTCTCTTCCCACTCTCCCATGAATTTCTCCATGTTTCCTGCTTTTTGCTCCYCCTCTGAGCATCCAGGGCTGAGAAAGCCTTTGTGTGCCAGCTCTCACTTTGTGTTTTTTTGTGAAAATGCAGTGGTTTTGTGAATGATTCCAGCTCCCTTGCAGCTGGAGAGGAAACATCTTCCCACAGYTTTCCCTACTAGGAAGTGTGGGATGGGAAAAGAAGGACAGGGGCAGTGTGCTTTCCAATATGGGATCTACTGGTGTGTTTGTACAGTGTCCTGAAGGCAGAAATTCTTGAAAATTACAGAATTTGCCTTGTCTGAAAGAGTTTCCATTTTGCTTTTTGCAGGTTTATAGAGGAGAAGTCTTCCTTTGAGTATGGGCAGGTAAATCATGCTCTGGCYGCCGCCATGCGGACTCTAATCAAGGAATACATGATATTAATTACTCAACTGGAGCATCTGCAGAGGCAGGGCCTTCTGTCACTGCAGAAACTGTGGTTTTACATCCAGCCCACCATGAGGACCCTGGAGATTCTGGCTTCACTGGGTAAATTTCCAAAATACAGTCTTTACATTTTGACTGTGCAGGRTAGCCAAACAGGCAGGGCATGTCTCATTTGCATTTCCTGCTTCATTAAAGAGGAAAGCCAGTGGAATTGCACTTGTGAGGGCACTGCAGTTCTTCTGGAGGCAGAATGTGCCCTTTGGAGCTGTCAGGAGGCCCCTCTGTGCCTTTTTCCTTCACAGCCTGTGCCCTTCCCATCAGCTGCATCCACCACTGCTGCYTCTGCTCAGCTCCTTTCCAAACTCCTCTCCAGCTCTGGGTGGATGTACAACCAGAAGGAATCCCTGGAAATTCCTAGTCCAGCCCTTTGCTTACAGATACGAGCAGGATGCTCAGGGCCATGTCCARTCTGGGGACTATTTGGGGTTTTGTTCCAGGACTCTTCAGGATGTAAGTGCCTTATAGTGGTGTTTTTAAATTCCAGCTACTTCTGTGGATAAGGGTGAGTGCATGGGAGGATCAACCCTGAGCTTGCTCCATGACAAGACTTTCAATTACACGGGGGACAGCCAGGCCCAGGAGCTGTGCCTGTATCTGACCAAGGCAGCCAGCGTGCCTTACTTTGAAATCCTGGAGAAGTGGATATATAGAGGCATCATCAATGATCCATACAGGTAAAGAACAGTGAAGCAATGAAAGTGAAATGCAAAAGTCCAGAAAAACTGATCTGTTCCGTCAAGTCTGCATTGCCTGGGGGCCTGGAACAGCCCTTCCTGAAGGTTTTTGGCTTTTGTAGAGTCATTTGAAGCATTTTGCTGTGTTCAATAGTTTGTGCAGCATTTCTGCTTCCCACATTTTCAGAATCCTAAGCTGGGGAAAAAGCTGAAGATAAAATATCTGAAATGAATGCCTTCCTGCTGGTGAGAAGGCAGACAAAAGCCAGTTTCCTCACCTGTGCACTGACAAACAGATCATGTTTAGGCTTGACTTGAGAACCCTGTAAAATCCTGTTCTATTCTGATTGATTGCAGATCAGCAGAGATACCACACGGTGCTTTTCCTCTTGCTTCACACACAGACTAATTTYACTTCTTGATTGGAATGTGTCCTCATGAGACCTTAGTTCTGATAGACCACAGCTTGCAGGTCATAAAAACTAACCCTCACTGTGCCACTCCCTGCCCCTAAACATCTGCTTGAACTGTTCAGTGAGTTCATGGTGGAGGAGCATGAGCTGCAGAAGGAGAAGATTCAGGAGGACTACAACGACAAGTACTGGGACCAGAGATACACCGTGGTTCAGCAGCAGATTCCCTCCTTCCTGCAGAAAATGGCTGACAAAATCCTCAGCACAGGTAGGAGCTTCTGCTCTCAGAGGAACGTTGAGACCTGCTGGTCTTGTGTGAAGATAAAGGAAATCTCACCGTGCCTTGCCACTCTGGGGGCCTTTTCCAGCTGAGCTGGGAGGAGTAGAAGAGGCAGATGTAAAAAGAACCCCAAATTCTGTAAATAAAACAGCAGAGCAGCCCAGCAGCAAGGGGAGCTGTCTGTCTTTTACTGGTGGTTTGGGGGGAGGTTTTCTAGCTGGGCAGCTGAAGTGTGTCCATCTGGGTGTTGATTTGGAGGTTTAAATGAAACATTCAACCTCTTATCCTTGTACAAAGCCCTCCAAAAGTGACTTGTGAGGCAGAGCACCAGATTTGCAGAGCTTCAGGTCACCTGCAGAGGTGTTTTGTCACCACTGGGTGACAAAACCATTTCTAAATCTCCTKATATGTGATACCAGGTGCCTAATTTAAAATTCTGGATCATGTTTTGAAAGGTGCCTAAATCCTTTCCAGTTTTTCAGGTAGTGTAAGCATTTTTCAGCATCTCTTCTTCTGGAAGGGAGGGGTACAGAAGCTCCCCTGTTGCAGGCATGAATATGGGTCATTCATTCTTTTTATTTTTCAGGGAAATATTTAAACGTCGTGCGGGAATGTGGGCGAGATGTCACCTGCCCCGTGGCCAAAGAGGTCATCTACACTTTAAAAGAGAGAGCCTACGTGGAACAAATAGAAAAAGCATATAACTATGCCAGCAAAGTTCTTCTGGACTTCCTGATGGAGGAGAAAGAGCTGGTGGCTCACCTAAGGTTYGATTTATTTTGCTAAATGCATGATAAATAGATTGGTTCCGCTAAGGGACATAAATTTTTGAAGTTAGCTCTGTTCTCTTGGGATATTACCAAGGTGTTCTCTCTATTTCCATTTRGAAAGGTTGACCTGAAAAATAAGATTTGGGTGGGGTTTTTTGGGGTTTTTTTTTCCCTGAGGAGGGAAAAAAAGATAGAAATGTTGAGTGGGAAGGATGTCTGGGGGTCTGTGGTCCAACTGCCTTTGGAAGGCTGTTGCCAAAAGTAGGTCAGGGCTTTGTCTGGCCCCGTGAGATCAGGAGTGTGGAGCYACACTGTGTTGTGGCTGTGCTGCTCCTGGTTTTGCTCCAAAGCCTGCAGTTATCCCCTGTGATCTTTGGCCAGGCACTTGGCTGATCCTCAGGCTCATCTCAGARCTCMTTCTGAGCTCCATGCCCACCGCAGGTAAAAATTTCACTGCAGGTGAAAATCAAAGTTTGTGTCCTGTGACAGCAAAAGTCTGCTGGACTTGAAGAAATCACAGATACTTCATTGAGAGAAGTCCAAGATCCTGCTTGGCAGCTGCCCCTCAACTGGAGGGAATTTGAGGGYTGTTCATGACAACAGGAGGAGCCTGCACCCAGCACACCTGGGGYTTTTTCTGCATTTTTCTCAGCAAAAAAAAAAAAAAGAGCAGCAGCAGCCTTGATCTGACTGCACAGAAGCATCCTGACTGATGGGGTAGGGAGGAGGAGACATCCATAACAGACGAATCTCCAAACTGATTATTTGTGGCTGYGTGCTCTCCAGGAAGGGAAACGTTCTGTGATCAAACCCCGCAGGCTCATTGAGTTGATTGCTTTTGTTCCTTTCAGTTTGATGTGGGTTTGAAGCAAAGTAATCAATTGTCCCTTCATTTGCTTGGGCAGATCTATAAAACACTATTTCCTGATGGATCAGGGCGACTTTTTTGTTCACTTCATGGATCTGACTGAGGAGGAACTGAAGAAGCCTGTGGATGACATCATAACGACGAGGCTGGAGGCTCTGCTGGAGCTGGCCCTGAGGATGAGCACAGCCAACACTGATCCTTTCAAGGACGATTTGAAGGTGAGAATGGGTGGAAGCAGAGGATAATTGACTCAAAGCAGAAGCCTGCAGTGGTTTGGGGAGATCCTGTGAGAACCTGCTGCTTCCTGGGTTGGTGTGACTGGAGAGTGGCTCTACCCATTGCCACCCAGAAGCTGTGGACATCCCATGGGTTCATTTATTTCCTTTTTTTCCTTTCTAGATTGACTTGATGCCCCATGACCTCATCACACAGCTCCTGAGAGTGCTGGCCATCGAAACCAAGCAGGAGAAGGCCATCATCAGTGCAGACCCCACAGAGCTCACCCTCAGTGGCCTGGAGGCCTTTTCCTTTGACTACATCGTCAAGTGGCCTCTGTCCCTCATCATAAACAGGTAAGGCATCCCTCCACTGCAGGAAAATCAGGAGTGTGCTCTCACAAGGGCTTTTCCAGGCAAGAATCAAACACTTCTCAAACCTGGAGAGCAGAAAAAAATGTACTTTGTGGTACCCCTGGCAGCCGACTCAAAGGATACTCAAAGGCTATTGCTGCAATTACTTTTGCGTGTAGCTGAGCTGTGAGGGACTGAATGGTTCATTTTTCCTGCTTCTTGTTTCCCTGGAGAAACACTACCGTGAGCCACAGCAAAAGTGACAAGCAGCATTGCATGGACAGGGTGGCAGATTTCAAACTGCTGAGTGCCAGCAATTAATTCCTCCCTTAATAATTCCCTCTCTAAAAACTCCATCAGATCAGTGAGAATTTCCTAACGACGCGGTGCTTTTGGAATTTCTTCTCTTCCTTCCCAAGGGAGCGGGTTAGCTCTGCTGGTAGCTATGGAAGTGAAAATAGGATTTGGTGAGGTTTCCTGAACTGTATCGACTGGAGCTGTGCAGACACCCACGCCCAAGTGTCTGAGCACAGACCCGAATCCAGTCCCCGGAGCTATAAATAAGCAGCCCCATCTGCTTGTGACAGTGCATTGCTGGTGGGGTGGTGCTGCCTGTAGCTTGGTTACAGCTTTTTCTCCCCTTCCTTGGAAAATCCTGGTGAATTCTTGGGAGAACTGGAAAATCYTGGCAAATTCTTGGGCGATTCTAARAACTTGGTGAATTCTTGTGTGACCGTCACAGTGGGCACAAGATCCAAGGCTTTGAAGGCTCCCTCCCAGCYCCTGTGTGAGTGACCCCTGCATGGAGCTGCAGGGAATTGAGGAGGCTGGTGATGTACCCACTGGCAGGAAATATGGGGGAGGGTCTCCTTGGAGAGGAGTTCTTCGGGATGGTTGCAAATGTGACTCTCCCTCTTGGGCTCCGTGCACCTCTGAAGGCGTCAAGAACATACTGTGTGAAGTCTCTTTACCTCTGAGCAGCTTTCACAGCTTAGTCTGTCAATCAGAGCAGGCCTTCATCTGCATGGCCTTCTCCTTTCCTTCCAGGAAAGCACTGACGAGGTACCAGATGCTTTTCAGACACATGTTCTACTGCAAGCACGTGGAAAGGCAGCTGTGCAACGTTTGGATCAGCAATAAGACAGCCAAGCAGTTCTCCCTGCATTCAGCTAAGTGGTACAACCTTTGTTTTTCCCAGTTTTGGGTCTTCTCTTGCTAATTAGATACCTCAGACAATACTGAGGTGAAAAAGATCCTTGCAAATGTCTCGCAGGCTCAGAGAGATCATTTTGGGTTTCACTCCATAGCTGCACTAGTAAAGTTGCTTTCATATTTAATATCAAAATTTTGCTTTTAGATAAGCAAATACTTAAATCTGTGRCAGGTCCAAAACTCTGACTATACTAACTGAGGGGAAAGAAAATAATCAGAGACRGTTTGCAGTGACTTTATAATCCTTCTCCCATAGCAGCAAGGAATTTGCTAGGGCAGAAATATTTAGCTCTGCTTGGCTGTGCAAGCCTGGTGCTCGTTCTCCRTGGCATTTGCTAGCTCTGAGCTGTGTGGGTGTGATTTCTCCCCTAGGTTTGCTGGTGCCTTCACACTGCGGCAGCGGATGCTGAATTTTGTGCAGAATATCCAGTATTACATGATGTTTGAAGTGATGGAGCCAACATGGCACATTCTGGAGAAGAACCTGAAGCTGGTGAGTGAGAAGTCTTAACMAATTTATTACAGGGGGAAAAAAACACCTGATTGCAGTTGTTGCAGGTGTCTGTTGGTTTTTTTTTTTTTTGGAGGCAGTTAAATACCTGGGAGCTGCTGTTCTGCACCACCTTTCTGTTTGATCAGTCACATATCCCTTCCCTGTGCTGCATCCCCCTGTCTGCCCAGCTCACACTCTGCTCCCTGGTAGGGAAAGGCAGGTTCTGCTCCACATTCCCACACACAGGAGAAAGAGAGATGTGGAAAAGGAAGGTGGAGGGTGAATGCAGAGTGCACAGATCATAAACCAGTCCAGGCTTCTCCAGCTGAACCCTTGGCTGACTGACAGTGCTCCTAAAGGTGGAGTCTGTGCTTAGCCTTCCATGAAACTACCAAGGACTGGCATGCTGGCACTCTGATATAAAACAGGGATTACTATATTATTATTATTATTATTATTATTATTATTATTATTATTATTATTATTATTATTATTATTATTATTCCCTCTGGTAGTCACCCTGTGATCAGACACTTCTGTCTGGCCCATCTTTGTCCTCTTACACCCTGGAAAGCCTTCACTGAGGTGCCAAACAGCCCAACACCCCTGCAATCAGCTCTTTTGGCAGCTGTGTGATGASCCTTGTGGATCTCCAGCATCAGCTGACTCTGCTTTAGTTCTTACTGTGCACCAAGGGGTTGTTCTGGGGTCAGCTAACCAACGTTTTTTGATGCCCTGCCATCCTTTTTCCTGGAGAATTCACAGGAGATGGCTGATCTAAGATTGTGAGCCTCTCTGTGTGTTATTGATGAGAACTTTTGAATGAGAAGAGTTTATATGTCAAGCTCCTGGAGAACCTGAGAGTTGTACTTACTTCTTAATTTTGTTGCGAGTTTAGGTTTGCAAAATATAACACTCAGTTTGCTTTGTTTGCATGGAGGCAGTTGTTGAAGTCATCCAGCCCCTGTTTTTTCCTTTCATTTGTGCTTTAGGAGGGAAAAGGATGWTCCTCACTGGTCTCATGTAGTGCCTTATGATGCATTTTTTTGTCACACTTCTCTTGTTTGCATTTTCACTTGAAAATAACGTTCTCTCTTCCTAAAATTATAACTGRGAWCTTCACCTTCACAGCACCATCATCWTCTTCATTGCATTACAGAGCTGCATTTATCCCTGTTCTCCTGTATCTTRAAAGGATTTGGGAGGGGTTTCTTGCATTGATCCTGCTGGAGCAGTGTGGATACCATGGCAGTTTTAGTCCTGTGTTTTTTTCCTAAGCTTGGCTTGTGTTCTGAGCTTCAGCATGTCCTGTAATTGTACAGAGTGAGAGGGAGTTTTAATCTCAAATTATTTGAGATTTATTCAATTTTAATTGGATTTTAAACTCAAGACTGAAACCKCCTGTTGAAGTAGCAGAGATGAACAGAAATATTACAGAATCCTTGCAACACTGCATGTCCCATTTCCTTGTTGGCTYCTATAGCACATTTCTGAATAATCTGTATGTTTTAATGATAAGTTTATTGACATTTAGGGTTCTTTGATTTGTGTTTTTCTCTTTTCCACTTATTTTCCCTGACTTTACTGAAGGTAAAGTGAAGGTGGGAGTGGCCATGGCAAGCAGGTTTAAAAACAAAGGAAATGCAAGTTCATGAAGCAGATAACTCCATCCTCTGCAGGGGAGGGTTTGGGTGATTAAAGCAAGCATGGCTGGTGAGAAGCTGATGTGACAAATCAAAGGTTTAAAGCCTGGGGAGGGGTGGAAGGCAGGTGCTCTCTCCCTCTCAGGGTGTTTCTGGGAGGCACATGAGGAGTTCCTCACTCAGAGGTCCCCAGGGTGTGGGATTTGGAGCAGCACCACAGCCCCAGTTTGTTTTGTCACCATTGGACCATCCTGTCACAGGCATCCAACATCGACGACGTCCTGAGCCACCACACGAGCTTCCTGGACAACTGCCTGAAGGACTGCATGCTCACCAACCCTGAGCTGCTCAAGATCTTCTCCAAGCTGATGTCAGTGTGTGTCATGTTCACCAACTGCATGCAGGTGTGTGCACTGCCAGCCCCTTTGCCACCCCAGGGGGACCAGCCTTTGTTCCCTCCCCCAGCAGCTTTAGGGCCTGGCAGCTCACACCCTCTCCCAAATGGTTTCTGTGGCTTCACTGCTCAAAATTCTTCATTTCTCCACATTGGGATCGGGTTCATGTGGACCAAATTCCCGCAGTACTGCAGCAGGRTTTGAGTTTTAAGTGGTAGTGCTCTGTTAGAGACACTCTGCTGAGGCTCAGGCGATTGGCCCATCCCAGCCAGCATCAAGGAGCCCACAAATTTCATAAAACCCACTTCCCTGTGAGTTTAGGGAGATTTGTGTGCCAACATCATGAATTTAATCTCAGAGTTTGCTCTCCTGGGGATTGGGATGGGCAGAACTGAGCCTTATGTTTTGCCACCATGGGAAAAAGGGGCTGCTGTAACCATTCCCCCAACGCTGTGCCYTTCCCAGAGGTTCACCCAGAGCATGAAGCTGGACAGTGAGATGGAGAAGCTCACCCTGGAGCATGGCACCATGCAGGGCCCRCCCACGGAGGAGGAGCGTGCTGAGGAGGCTGCCAAGAAGAAGCTGACCAACAAGGTGGGACATGGGGGATAGCTGGGTCTGGGTCTGGCCACTTGCAGATATACCTCCCCAGTTTCTAGAGCACCTCTGGCCCCAAGAGCATGATCTTTGTGGAATTGTGGGCAGTGGAGAGCACTGCTGGAGTTCTCAAAGTCTGCTTTGAAGACCCTGTCTCCTGCTGCAGGGAGTTTTTGAGTTCTCACTCGTGTTTTCAGCTGTGCAGAGCCACATCCTGGCTTTCCCATTCCCAGAACT